TATTTTATTTAGGATTTTATAAAAGGCAAATTGGTATTAAATAAACTATTTTACGAATATTTTTTTGTTTAGGATTGGTAAAAAGGAAAACTACAATTAAACACTCTTTACTTTTTTAAAATATTTTTTTTTTGTAAATATCTTTTATTTAGGATTTGAAAAAAGGAAAATTACTTACATAATATTTCTAATTATTTTTTTAACAAATAAAATATTTTTTTTTGTAAATATCTTTTATGTAAGATTTTAAAAAGAGAAAATTACTATTATATAATATTTAGAATTATTTTTTTAACAAAATCCGTTTTTGTTATTATCTAAAATATGTATAGATATATTAATTATGAGATATTTTAAAACATGTCACAATCATAAATATATAATGTCCATGTATCACAATCTTATTAATTAGTAACTTTGAAGAATCAAGCTTTGTATTTCTCAAAAATTATAAGCTTTTAAAATAGACACAACGCAATTCTCTATAAACAGAACAAAAAATAACATTTTAGAATCAGGTACATTTTTGTGTATAATTATTCAAGGTGATTTTATGTTCAGAACATTTATATTTTTAAAAGTATATTTGAACAAATTTCAATCCAAAATCAACAAAATAGAGTTTATATAATTACAATGATTAACAGTTATAAAACATGAACATAGAGACTGGCATTATTCGAAGAAATGAACAAAGTCCAGCTGATTCAGTAGGACATTCACTGAGTTATGATAGTATGCTGATTCGTTTGGTTTATAAATGGAAATTGGAAGTTTGTAAACTGTGATAATTTAATGAAGAGAAAGTTGAATGTGAGTGGTAGATTTTGAGGCAATAAATAGTGGGTGGAATTATGAGTTGTTGCAGTTAATACACGCAAGGCTTTCGCATTTGTTTTCTCATCCACACTACTAATAATGAGTCCATTTTATATTGGAGTTTGTTCCATTTGTAAAGAAAATTGTGAGTAAAAAGAATAACAAAAAAGATTTGAAAACAAATTGTCATAAGGAATAAATGAGACTTTGCAGGTTGTGGGAGTGATGACTGCGACATATCAATCGACAGAAGGGAAATCAGAATATGATTTATCATATACTACATATAAATAGACAGGAAGGAAATATGATGCTGTATATATTACAGAATCGTGATATTTAATTGTATTTTCCGTAATCTAAAGTAACAAAACGAGAAGAGATGTACCTTATTATTTGAATACATCGTGGAACTTTTAGCGTATCATGGTTAATTTAGTAGGTCAAAAGGTTGAGTTTCTGTGTTATTCTAAAACTTATGTTAACTTACACGAGCCTAGGATTCTCAATCCACTCCATCGTGGAGTAGTAAATGGACCCATCAGTTGGACATTGCATCTCACGAACAAGTCAGATAAATTGTTAATTTTACATGTTCGCACTTAGAAACTAAATAATTTCTACTAGCGTCCAATTTTTTTTGTCACTTCCACTTCCAATACAAATATACTGTAAGAACTCTATAAATTAATTATGTTAGAATTTTGATATTTTTAATTTATAGAATTATAAACTTATAGATTTTTTGTTGTAAATTTATATATTTTAAAATATGTTTTATGTATAAATATGAAAATACTTGACTTTAAGGTATATGTATTGATTAATTACTAATACCAAATATATACTATTTTTCTTTGATTATTTGGTGTATAGCTTAAATGTAACATATTTTAAATGAAAATATCAATATATTTATAAATATTAAAAAATAAAGATAAACTTCAGTAGAACTACCTATGAAATATATTGATCATATTTGTATATAATTTATAATATTTATTATTAATTAATTTTTATAGTGAAATCATATATTTATATACAGTTTTCAAAAAATATTATTTTATTAATTTATCGAATTATGTCATATTTTACATTTTTCTAACTTGAGATCAGTAAAAATTATTAATTTATAGTGTGTGTTAATTTATCAAATTTTAATTCATAAAATTTCTACTGTATAGTTATATTTTGTATTTTTAAGTTTCTATATATAAATGTTATCAAACAAAACAACCTGGACATTTTCCAAAATGTCTCGAAAATCACAGGGACAAGCTCATTATCTCTCTCTCTTTATTAATTTCTACTAGCGTCCAATTATTTGGTATGTGTCGTAATATGGCCAAGACATGCTAAAGTTTGGAGCTGGGAAGAAAAATGCCAAGCTTGTACGTCCGACCATTTATCGTATCAAACAATTTATACCGTCGAACGTGTGTTTTCTTTTTAAACACTTAAAGCAACTAACGTGTGATCAAAATATAACCACTTGCTGTTATCTTGTTATGGATTATGTAATATCAAGACTCATTATAGTATAATTTAGGTATTAAACGTGGATTCTCATCGACAAGTCAGTGTGTTGTAACAACATAATCTACGAATAACACAGTTTTAAATCGTCGTGACTTTGAATTTGATTTAACATTTGAGATTATTTATGAAAAGTTAGAAAACAGCCAAGCTAACCATGTTTATGTTTAATTTAATTATTTTATCATACATAATTGTTCTAAATTCTTGATTTGGTATTTTAAATTGAAGCCTATACACTCTTTTCTAGTATATGGTATAACTGGTAATCAACTCAATATCAAAACGATTTTAAGATTTTATAATTGTAATTACTTTTCATTTGCAAAAAAAAAAATTACTTTTATATTTTATATTTTGTGAACACAGATTCTAAAACAATTATTTTTAGATATATAATTACTTATATATCTAAGTATCTAACCATATATAAATCAATAAAAAAATATATTACAAAATAAAATTAATAAATTTTACATTAAAAGTTCAAAATGACACTTATTTTATAACGAAAAATTTCTTTAAAACGATAAAACCGAATAAATATTATATCAATCAATATAGTACGAATTAAATACTTATTTCACGTTCCGTAACTATCTTTTTATTGAAAAAGGGCTAGTTCCACAACTAAATTAAGAGAAACCTTCGTTACATACAATAAATTTATAGTCTTTTCATACAATTTTATAACGTTATTATTTTATTGTATTCAGTTCAATAACATTAACCATAGTCAATTAGAAATGGTGCGGTTTAACTCGTGGCCCGGACAAAAAGTATAGAAAAAGGTGAACGGAAAGGTAGGCATAAAAGACAACCCCGTAACCCGTTGAATTTGGTAAAGAGAAACAATCTGAAGAAAGTAAAAGAAAAAAAGACATCAAACAAAATACCTAGAAGTTTATCGGTTTTGTCGCTCTAGATTTAATTTTTGGAAAATTAATCAACTGATTTTCCTTAAATGAGATTTAAATGCTTTGGTTGGGTTTACTTATTTATCATCACATATCTCCCCCTTCAGCGTGTGTTCATAGTTGTTCGTTCCAAAAAAAAAAGTTGTTAGATCTTATGTCTTTTCGAATCCGAATCTTTAGGTTTCTCATTTGATTAAACCCAACACGTTTCCAGTTTCCGAGACGAGTGTTGTTCAATCTTCTCCGTAGCTTTGTAACAAGAGAATCTAGGGTTTTGGTCTTTTTCTTATAAAAAACATTTCTTTGTTCATAAATTTATTTTCTTTGGTTTAAATGTTAAATCCTTGCTTCATAAATTTTCTGCTATACAACAATAACTGTACTTCACCATCATTAAGAGAACCCCATCTGCCTCTTCTCACAGCCTCATAATATTTCAACCATTCAATCTCTCGCTTCTCTCATCTGTTGTTCTCTCTGTAGGGTTGAGAACTTCTTTTTGCTTTCTTTTAATATGAACACCCTTCTTGTTCCTTACTGTGTATCTCTCGTTATTACATTCGACGGAAACGAGGTTTGTAACCTTTTTGGTTCTGTAACCTTTTTGATCATGTGGGTTTGACAATAGAGTTTCTTACAGAGCTCTTTGGCATTCTGTCCACCTCCCCTCCTTATATATTTGTGTACTATCTGTGAGGGGGAGGTGGGCATACTGCCAACAGAGATCTGTTAGGGTTTCTTTGTAAAACCCATCATGATTTGTTGTATTCAAGATGTAGTATAAGACATTTGGGTCAAGGTGATCAAGATGACTTGATGAACACTAAGATCTAAGTTTGAAGAAACAATGGTATTACCTCGGATCTACTCAACCTTATTATATGTATATGTGATCGTTAGTTCTTTTCTTTTATTACTTTCATATCATCTTATTTGATTTCGATTGATCTCTCAGAAGTGTTTTGCTTTTCTTGGATGAGATTCTAATCTGTTGGTGGGTTTCTAACACTGGATATGTTCATTGCATTTGCGTAAAGAAACTCACATGTTTTTAATTTCAATGCCGTTGACCAGTTTGAGGCTAATTTGGTATTAGTGGTGGCGTCTGAGACATTTACATCATCTAGGAAAGGTAAACTATTCATGAAAAATGAGGACCCATTTCTTAAAAAAGGTACATATAAATTGAAATCATAGGGGAATATGGTGATGGAAAAGGATTTACTCTTATCTTTTTATGTTTTTGAGCCCACACAATGTTATCATGATGTCTTGTTTTTCTTGAAGTTGGAAGCTATTTGTATAGAAAGTAGTTGTGTTTTTGTGTAAAATGGTGATGTTTCTCTCTAAATTATTTGATGATATGTTCTAGCTTATACAGTATATAACAGGGTTGGAGAAAATTCAAGTTCAATCTTACATATAGCTATTTCCTTAGCCATTATGTTGTTTTCAGTTGTTTTTATGTGTTCTAATATTCTGATGAGTAGTAGTTTTATGATATATGCTGCGATTGTATAGGCTTTAATTTTTTTTTTTAGTTTCAGTTACTATTACTTCAAAAAGATTATCATTTTACTGTCTTTTTATTCCATTACATTATATGTCGATTTTTATTCCAATATTTAAGATTTATCATCTTTATGTCCATTTTGTTCCAAGATTAATTTATATCAGTCAATTTTTCATTAGTTATTTTAGGTTAGATTGTTCAAAACTGTTTTACAAATTTTCTTTGCGTTAAATTAACCAAAAAGCTAGCTGTTGTTTAATGGCCGATAGGGTAGACCAATAAAAATAATGCAATCGTGTGGTGAAATGAACTTTCCGTGACTGTCTCTGAGGTAGATATGCATAATGCTCGACGTCTTTGACCTGCCTACGGTTCTAATTAATTAGGGTATAGATTTATACATTTATATAAAATGGAAATATTTACTATAATTCAACTGAACCTTCCCTAGTAGCCTCATCATTGGAGTTCTGTCAGTTCCATTTAATTTATCCTTTCAAGGCAATCTTCAACTTTAATTTATCTACCGTATTTACTCGCGCGTGACTCCCAGTTTCCCGTTGTTTTTTACGCTTCACTGTAATTGAGTGTTGGGCTTTTATAAAATGGACTTATTAGTAGAGCCTCAGCCATTAGCCCATTACTTTCAAACGGCCCAACACATATAGATGGGCCTGTGAGTATGGATCCGATCTATAACCCGACCCGATGATTGTTGACACGGCGAAAGGAGACAGAAGAGAGTTTGTTCGACAGATTCTCTCTCTCTGCTGCATAATCATCTCGTGTCGTGTGTTTCTCAGAAGCGATGATAACGAGATCAAAACTAGCGGAACAGCTAAGGGAATATCAGATTCGATCAAATCATGATTGGGCCTCCGTTTCTCTCTTCTCCTCCACCTCCAATTTCTCTTCTTCCAGGTTCCAAAACTCTCTATAATCACGACTTTGAGATCTGCTTGTTTAAGGACACAAGGTTATCCAACACGATGTCTAAGCGTTTTTATTACATGAACTAGTGATGCATATATACTTCATGTAATCATGTCTTTCTTGGTTCTGTCTTTATGTTTAGTATATTGCCATCTTAATTTATGTTTGTCAACCGAAACTGTGGTACTTATGTTGTTGGTCTCATTTGATTTTGTTCTCCAGGATCCATGTGGTGGTGTTTGTGATTTGGGAGCTTGTGATCGTACTACTCGTGGTGTTTTCAGCAGTATCATTGTTCTTCAGGAGGTTGCAATTAGCATTCATCATGGTTTGTGTGAGCTTACTTTTGCTCTTCTGTATGAAAGTCGCGAAGCAAGTGAGACATGAAAGGAAGAAGAAGCGTAGGATGCTTCTTCCTCTATCTATGTAAAAGGGACCAAAACCAAGTAGGATTTGAGGTGAAGACGACGAGTTGAGGTGAGGTGAGGCTTATCTCTGCTTTTGTCATTTGAAGAATGGACTTGGCCTGGTATAGGAAATCAGCAGATGGATAGGTTCAATTCCAGGGCGTAGCTTTAGACAAGCCAGAGCAGTCTGCATAACTCGGAACTTAAGTGGTTGTACTGATTGTTTTTCCCTGTATGGTGGTTTTGAAATTCAGACTTTTTTAGGAGTAATTAATCGTAAAAAAAGAAATTTTGTTTGAGAGATTTAGAAAATGATTTTGTGATTATTGTAAACGCAGCTGTTACCGCTCGGAAACATATAAACACATAAGAACAAATCAACCTTCAAAACGAATCAAATCCATAACTCTAATATTACAATGTACAAGAACCGACAAAAAGATGGAAACATTAACAACAAAAACCCATTTTAACCCTAATTCATTTATCTAAATGGGCCTTTAGTCTTTCAAGTGGGCCTTGTCCGAAAGAGGTCACAAGCCACACGCTTGCATCAGGTATGATTAGTTTGTCAATCGGAGGAGGAGAAAGAGTCTCTGAAACAAGCGGAGCGAATCGTGAATCGAGAGGGTTTGGAGAAAAAAAATGGGAGGAGGAGGAGGAATAACATATAAGGGAGTCACTGTACAAACTCCCAAGACGTGGCACGCCGTCGCCGGAAAGGGCTTGTGCGGCGTCATGTGGTACCATTTCTCTCTCTCCCCTCCGAATCAGAGCTAGATCTCACCATAAGACTATCTTTTAATTGATTTTACGATGAATCCGTGTATTGATTCCATGTTAATTTGTGTTCCATTTTATGAATTGAACTTAGGATTAGAGGCTGATGTTGATTTGAATTTGATTATGATTTGAAGAAGCAATCACAAAGACATTGGTTTTTATTAGCATTCACATATTAAACTCAACTCTTTTTGATATTTTTTGTCAGGTTCTGGATTCTGTACAGAGCAAAGCAAGACGGTCCTGTAGTCATGGTAACACTCTTTGTAAAGTTTACAAGTTTTTTTTTTTTATTTGAATTGTTTAATTTTCTACTCCCTGATATTTGTTACTTGGCAACTTCTAGGGATGGAGGCACCCCTGGGATGGCCATGGTGATCATGGTCACGGTGACCATCACTAGGTAATGTGACTGTCTAACTTCTTATGGTACATTTTGGTTATAGCAGAAATATTGAAAAGATTTAAAGGCTTTGTCTTTCTTAAACGCTCGTGATTGTATGTGTAAGTGCTACTATGTAACAAGGCACCAGTTATGTCTATGCATAATGTTGATCGCTATACTACTAAGTTGTTACCTGCTAACATAGTCTTTTGAAATGGTCTGTACTTGTTAGTTTTAGCTTTGTCTCAGATTTAGCTTATATAAATGGTGAAAGTGTAGAGGGTCTTTAGCTTTTCTAAAGGATGTTCCTGGTTTGATTCTCTATAATGAATCGTGTTAACCCTCTTAGAGGTGAAGTGAATGGCAATTGAGTGCCATTTCATGGAAGTTTGTTAATGGTTTTGTGGCACATGTTTTGCGACTTTTTTTTGTTTCGAGACACATCGTGAATTTGAAGTTAGCCAGCTTAAGATTGAGCTACACTGCCTTCCAACTCACGTCTCTGCAACCTCGTTACAGTCTTATGTGTACATTGCTCAAATTGCGTGAGCTAAACTTGTTTTGGGTTTTTACGCTAGGTATCATTGAACCTTTTGAAGATCATGACGAGAAAATGGATCGTCTCTGTCTTATTTTCAGCTTCATATGTCGAAATAAAGAGAAATGTGAAGAACACGTGGTATTGTTTTTGTGCACACCTTTGTAAGACTTGCTGCTTCCTGTTTTTAGCTGCTACTTCTGTTGGTGTTACTGATGAAATTATGTTGTTTTTCTGTCTACAAATAAGTTTGAAAATAAAAATTGATTGCTAGATTCTTGGTGTATTATAATCGGCAAGTGCTTGATTTCATATATGGTTCTTAACATTTTTAGAAAAGTTCTCCAAACTGTTGACATATGTCTGTATATCTACTTAACGGCGTTTGTATTACCGGTGAATAAATATGAAATTTTGTAATTCTGCCAAAAATTTAGAACATAATAAAATAAAATTTCAAACTTAACTGATTACCCCGGCACAGTTTGATCACTTTGGCATATGTTGCAATATTAGAGTAAAAGACTGATAGCATTCTACTGTAATGATGTGACTTACAGATTAATTAAAATCAGCAAACTATCGAAAAATAGCTATCTATTTTCAATTTCTCACTATGGTTCCACCTTATGTATTTGATGAATATCCTTTTGATCACCAAAATGGCTGCACCTTTGTTCGCTCCTGTTCTTCAATCCTCACCATCTCCTCCTTCTGTTTTGCGGCCGAGAAGCTTAATTGGTTCTTCAGCATAAATTAAAAGTTACTATATTTTGATGTTACGTTACGTTTTCTTCTTTATTCCCTTACCTTTCAACATAAATGTTGGGAGACATTTCAACCAGTCTTTGTTAGTATTGTTACACTTTTATTATGAATGTTCCCTACAAAGACCTTGACTTCTCTTATCATACTTCATACAGTTGTTAGTAAACCATTGCGATCACTCACTTAACGTAAGTCATATGACATTAAAGTGTTTTGATTAACCGAGACCTGGACTTTTCTGAATATACAGAATCACTTCTTGTTGATTTTATATAACGGTGAAGGCCTTTGCATTAAACTCACAAATCATTAAATAAAATGGAGAGGAAGTGTTTCTTGGGAAAATATTTGATATGGGTTATATATTGTTAGGACAGCTAACATGGATACAAAACCTCATGCTTTGTTTCACATAACTTGTGTTTGGTTCATGTCTTTGAATAAATGTAATGCTCAAAACATATCTTAGGTCTGGTTTGGTTGTTGCGTTCAGTAAATAGTTTATTGAACAAAGAAACTTCCCCTTAGTTCACTTTCTGCATTCATGAATTCTCTTAATCTATACCGCGTTACTTTCAAAATTTTAGATTAATTTTTTGGAGAGAGTTACTAAGTTTAGAATTCAGCTATCAAACTGTTTGTTTTTTTAGTCCAAGCAGCTAGAAAATGGCTGTATATACGTTCATGTAGACAGAGTTCCCACTTCCCAGTGACCGGGTGTTTGGTGACACTCCTGTCCTTAGGCACGACTCAGCTGGCTTGTTCAAAATAATCACCAAAATTGACGTGATTTAAGATGCCTAAATATTTTGTATAAGTCATGATAAAGATCTTACATATTAAAGACGCCAACAACTATTTTTACCATGATTTTACTATATTGTATATATCTATCTTATTAAAGTAGAAGTACTTTAACCTTTTGTTTGGAAACATGGATAA